ACAGGCTCTTGCTCATATGTTATTTCATGAAATTCTTCTGTGTCAGCCAGTGCCTTCTGATACAGTGACTCTGTGTACTCCTTCCATCGACTTTAAGGAGGAGCTTTTCTGCAGTAGTATTTTGAGTGTTTCCAGCCCAGGGACCTCCTCTTCCCTCACTGTATCAGACAATGTTCTGTTGCTATTCATGGGTTTTTGCTAAGGTCCCATTATTTCAGAAGTGGATGGTCAGTGGTGCTTCATCCTCTGTCTTATTTGTAAAAGGAACACTCAAGCTGCCCCAAGCCAGTTGCAACTGAGTCAGCTCCTACACATGGTGAGCTCATGCTTTTCAGAGTAGATGTGTGTCCACAGAGTTTTCAATAGCTCATTTTCCAGAAGCAGTTTGCCAGGCCTTTCTTCTGAGGCCCTCTTGACTGGACTCAAACCTTCAATCTTTTGATGAGTAGGTGAACATATTATTATACCACCAGGGACCTCTAAGCTCATCTAACAAAACCCCAAATTTGCCACAATGTTAATTTTTACTTACAGCAATCCTAAAGGTAGGAATAAAACAGCTCCATAGGGTTTCCAGGGCATTCAGTCTTTATGGATGCAGGGTTAGGGTTAGGTACCTTTCTCCTCCTGAATGCCTGGGGTATTCGAACCAACAACCTTTCTGCTAGCAAGTGAAAACATCAACCATTCTGCTTTCTACCTCCTTACACCTCTTCACATCTGCCAGATTCTAATTCAGTGACATAGCCTGGGGTGCCGTCTAAATTGAGGGTGTTCCAACCAGAAGGAACAGCCTAAGCAAAAGCCGGGAGACCTGGAAAGGTCCTGGAGTGGTTGTGGAACCTCTAACTGGTTAATAAGGCTGGACAAGAGGTGGACAGGGAGGCACTGGATCTCCTCAGCACCTCTACTTAGAGAACTGCTTCTGTTCTACTCACAAGCCTTGATTTTTGATTGGAAGTCAAGAGGCAGGAAGATCCAGTCTCCCAAGGTCTGATCACCAACAGTGATAAATTCAACCAAATGCAGAAGGGAAGATATTTTAGAGATTAGAGCAATGCCAAGGCCCTGGGCCATGAGAGAGCTGAGAACTTTCATCTGTTTATACTCTTGTTAAGTCCCCTCGAGTTGACTACCTATGAGCAACAGATCAGAATTTTGCCCTCCACCAGACTCCATACACCATAGCTCATTGTCGCAGGCACTGTTTGGACCCATCTCCTCGAGGGTCTTCCTTTCTTTCATTGACTCTCTACTTTCGTTAGCATTGTGGCTTTTCCCAAGGTCTGGTCTCTCCTGAAAACATGGCCAAACTATGTGAGCTGAAGTTTCACCTGTCTTGCTCTGAGGAGCACCTGGGTACATTGCCTTAAAGATAAATTTGTTTGTTCTTTTGGCAGTATATGGAATAAACAGCATTCTTCTCCAACACAACTCAAAGGCATTGACTCTTCTGTCATACTTAGTCATTGTCCTACTTTCGGAGGCAAACAACTGAGAAGACCATGGCTTGGATAAGACACACCGTAATCTTTAAACTGGTATCATTACTCTTCAGTTTTCTGGAGCGATTCCTGACAGTAGATTTTCCCAATACACTACATCTCTTAATATCTTGACTGCTGATACCAACGGTGTTTGTTGTAGATCCAAGTAACATGAAGTTGTTCACAACTTCAATATTCATCTCTCATGATCTTGGCTATTGACCTCATAGTGAGGATTTTTGTGTTCTTGATATTGAGAACTAATCCACATTGAAGACTGTCGTCCTTGATCTTCTGCAGCAAATGCTTCAAGTCCTCCTCACTGTCGGTGAGCAAGGCTGTATCATCTACATAACACAGGTTGTTGATGAATCTTTCTCTAATCCTGCTGCTATATTCTTCTTCACAGAGTCTAGCAGCTTCTCTAATGATTTGTTCAGCACACAGAATAGAAATGAAGAAAGGACACAATCCAGACATGCACTTTTCTTGATTTTAAACAATGCACTGTTCCCTTGCTCTGTTCTTACAACAATTTCTTCATCTAGGTATAGGTGTGGAGTTGTTGGGTTTTTTTTCCTTGTTGTGTACCATCATGTCAGATCCAACCGATACAGGAAGAGATTGACCCTCCTTCTCCAGGGGAGCATCTGGTGGATTCGAACTGCGCGCCTTTGGGACTGCAGCATAGCTTCTTGCCACTAGGCCACCAGAGCTTTCTTAGATATAGGTTTTGCATGAGCATAATTAAGTGTTCTGGGATTCCTATCCTTCTCCATATTAGCCATAATTTGTTACGATCCACACAGGTAAATGCCTTTACACAGTCAATAAAGCACAGATATCCTTCTGGTATTCTCTGCTTTCAGCCAAGATCTATCTGACATGCAATGATATCATTACTCTTCTAAGTTCCAAAGCCTCTTCAAAATTCAGTTTGAATTTCTGGCAATTCCCTGTAGATATATCTTTCTGGCTGTTTTTTTTATAATGTTCAGTAAGATTTTGCTTGCATGTGTTATTAAAGCTATTGTTCAATAATTTCCACATTCCATTGAATTACCTTCTGGGGGACTAGGAAGAAATATGAATCTTTTCCAGAAAATTGGCCAGTGGCTGTCTTACAGATTTCTTGGCTCAGCCAGGTGAGCATGCCAGGGTTGCATCTGTGTGTTGGAATATGTCACGTGGTATCTCATCATTTCCTGGGTTCTTATTTGCCAATGCCTTTAGTGCTGTTTGAACTTCTTCCTTTATCACCATTGGTTCTTGAGCACATGCTACTTTCCGAAATGCTTCTTTATCAGCCAAACCTTTTTGGTACAGTGACTCTGTGTATTCCTTTCATCATCTTATGATGCTTCCTGCATCATTTAAGGTTTTGCCTATAGCATCCATAGCATCAAGTATTGTAACTTGAGGCTTGGATTTGTTCTTCAGTTCTTCCACAGGTAGTGGCAGCAGCGGGGGGTCCCTTAGAGCAGGAATGGAAAGGCCCAGAAACTAGGCTGGATGAGGCAGTGGCAGCCAGGGCTCCAGGGCTCCCTCCTTATAGCCATAGAAGATGCTATGTGGCTAATAGACAGAATATACCTGGATCTAGACAGAAGATGTACTATTTTAGGCCTTGAAGAGCTTAGATGTTCTTGCAAGGGCACTGGGGAGTCATAGAAGGTATGTGAGCAGGAGAGGGACAGTGAGATCTTTGCCCATAGAGGGACAGTGAAGTGGAGAAGGGAATAGAGGCATCGGACACTCGGGAACGTGCAGAGGAGAGGCGCTCACATGGGAACCAGACTAAAAGAGTCCACCCAGGACAACGTTCTGAGGCCCAGGAAACCAAATCCAAGTTTCAGAGGTGGAGGAGCCCTGGGGGTAGATGCTGATACAGGAGGGGCTGCTGGACCTGTGCCCCATGTTAGGGCTGGAGAAAAACCTCTGTCCTCAAGGAGGAAATGGTACAATAACAGGTCACATGACCGGGGGAGTGGGCTTCCTGTTTCCCAGCTTCTCCCAGCCCAGCTTGGTCAGCCCAGATCTAAGCAAGCAGTGACCCTGAGAATGTTCAGGAACTTGAGCTTTTCTGATCAAGGTGCCACCAGAGGACCAGAAAGGTAGAGGGTAGTAATAGGGCCATGTGCGTGGTTGACATGTCTGGTTCAGGAGATCTTTGAGGAGGAGGAGTAGGGGTTTTGGGTCTCAGCTCCAGAAACAGGGATAGGGTGGGGTGGGGAGGAAGGAGGAGAACACAGATGTGGCGAAAAATGAAGGAGGCAGAGGAGAAGGGAGAGTTCATTGTGAAGTAGTGAGACGCTCATCAAGAGAGGTATTTAAAGATACAGAACCAACACTGATAAGCCAAGAGCTCTTCCAGAGGAGAAATTGCAGCCACATTTCACAGGAGGGAAAATTGTGGCCTCTCTGCTCAGGATAGCAAAGCAGAGCTGAGGCCAGGCTGTGTGTTTAGGTTGTGGAGAAGAAGGCTCCAAAGAGCACTGATTTCCAGACAACAATGAATGCCCGGATGATGCGGCCCCGGAGTCGGCGAGGGAGACACCCTCCACCTGTGAGTATCCCCCCTCTCCCTGCGCCCACCCCTCAGGACCTCAGGACCCAGCCCTGCCTGGCTCAGAGCAGGGACCTGAGTGGGTAATTTTCAGGTAGAGTTGGACCCAGTGGTTGAGAGTTCAGAAGAGGTAGAAGTGGCAGCTGGGAACCCAGAGGCAGGCCCTGCACCACCTCAGGAGAGCTATGACAAGTCGGGCCTGCCCTGGCCATCGATGGAGGCTGCTGGTCAGGACACGGGGAACAGGTAGGGACCACTTGGGCCCTGCTTTCCACATCAGCCACGGATTCTTTTTCTCACCCGTCATCTGGCCTGTGTCCCTTCCCTCCTCACATACCCATCATGACTCCCTATTGCTCTCCTCAGCCCGACTTTTTAAAGGCCAGCATGATGCTGACAGCTCCTTTCTTTTCCAGAATCTTCTGTTTCTCAGCTCCAGGTCGTTGACTGGGCCATGCCTTCTGCTAAAATGCCTGTTTTTCCCTTGCAAAGGCTGACATTGTCTTCTTCAAAGAGTCACCACTCAGTTGCCCCAGCCCCAGGCCAGCCCTGTCCTCATCCACCCAGTCCCTCCTCAGTCCACCCCACAGCTTCCACTGGGCCACCAGCTCCAGAGCAAACAGCTCTTGGCGGCTCCCTGTCCTGCTCATACCACCCAGAGACCCTGAAGTTTAAGTCCCCGGGATCCCCTTTCAGGTGTCCATTGGCTCAACTTCCTGTCTTGATGTCTGGCTGCAGGGCAGACAAGGAACTTGATGAAGACAACAGTATGAGACAGTCTCCACCCCTTAAGGGTTCCCAAAGGCCTTCAGAGGAAGTCCATCAGGCTCCCGAAGAAGCCCCAGAGAATGGAGAGACCGTCCCCCCAAGACCTGAGCCCCCTGATGTGTTCCAGATGCTCCAGCACACTCTGAGCTCCCTGGAAGCAGCGGTTGCTGCCTGGCGCCAGCCACCCCCCAGCTGCTCTGAGCCAGGAGAGGCAGAGAGCAGAGGCGAGGGGGCAGCAGGGGCCCTTGATGGGCAAGAGGGGACAGGGTCCTGCCAGCGGGAGGCAGCCCGCCTGACCGAGAGGAACGCCTGGCTGCAGCTGGCCCTGGGCAGCCGTGAGGATGAGCTGGCCCGCATGCAGGCCTCTCTCCAGGCTGTCCGGGCAGAGAAAGAGATGCTACAGAGAGAGGTGAGTGGTTAGTCCCGTCTGAGGCAGGCAGGCAGGCAGGCAGGCAGGCAGGCAGGCAGGCCGGCAGGCCCTGCGCAGGCAACGTTTGTTCATTCCATACACCTTTCTGGAACATTGAGTGGGCGCCGGGGATTACTGAGTCCAATAACAACAACAACAAAAATTTCCTTGCAAGGAAGACATCACAGAAGAGATGACACTTGAATAAGGACCAAGAGGAGAGGAGGGAGGACCCTTGCAAGGAGCTAGGGGAAGAGTGTTCCAGGCAGAGGGAACAGCATGTGCAAAGTCCCTGAGGCAGATGTGTGCTAGGCTTGCTCGAGAAACAGCAAGGAGGCTTTGCAGCCAGAAAGCGTAAGCAAGGAGAGGGGCGAATGGTGGGGTGGGGGCCAGGCAGAAGTTGCCGAGGGGCTGGGAAGGGGCCTTATGAGACGTTTGCATTTGTTCTGAGTGAGGTGAGAGCCGTGGAGGGTTCTGAGAAGAGGAGGCATATTATGACTCAGGTGTCAGTACCTGCTGGCTGCTAAGGGGGAACAGAGTGTGGAGGGGGGCAAAGGCAGGAGTCAGGAAGCCACAGAAAAGGTGCGTGCTCTGATCCAAGTGAACAGTGAGGGAGGTTGTAAAGGTGGTGAATGGTAGGAATATTCAAGATGATGTTGACAGCCAATAGGAGTGGGTGTGAACACTAGAAATGAGGTGAGGGTAACTCCAGAGAGGAGGTGAGGGTAACTCCAGAGTTTGGGATGATAGGGGTTGAATGACAGAGATGAACAGGCTGGAGGAGAGTCGGGCTGAGGCAGGCTTCTTGGTGAAAAGAGATAGAAACTCCACAACTTTGATGGGGGATGGACAGGAATTTACCTTCTGGAAAAGTCTGAGGAGATTTGTGTGGACCCTGAATAGTTAAAGAATAGTTCTGAATAGTTGCAAGCAGATGTCTGAATCCAGCACTGTTGGAGTTCAGGGCAAGAGGCCGCAGCTCCCCGCAGCCAGCTCCAAGCCACAGCAACTGCGCTGTGGTCTCTGCGACATGGCAAAAGTCAGGAGCCCCACGGAGACTGACCGAGCGGTGCATTGAGTCCCTGATTGCTGTGTTCCAGAAGTACGCTGGAGAGGATGGTCACAACATTACTCTCTCCAAAAGGGAATTCCTGAACTTCATGAATACAGAACTGGCTGCCTTCACAAAGAATCAGGGGGACCTCCGTGTCCTTGACCACATGATGAAGAAACCGAACCTCAACTCTGACGGGCAGCAAGATTTCCAAGAATTTCTTCATCTTATTGGTGGCCTTGCTCAGACCTGCCACGACTCTTTCATCAAGAGTGTTCAACAACAAACCTGAAGCACCGTTGAACCTGGCCAACAAGCTCAGCCCTTTCCCTCCAAGCCCCCCCCATCATTGTAGACTCCACACAGCCCACACACACCCTGATCTAGCCCACCGACCACCCCATGCAGGCCACCTCTTTTTCTAAAAAAAAGTTCAGGGCAAGAGGGAGATATTTGGGGATTTTTGCATGTGGTTAGAATGGAAGGATTCCATGTGACTGGATTACACTCCGGGAAGGGAGTCCCCCTACTGTCTTCCGGCAGGACTACCAGACCACAGGGCTTCAGGAACCCAGAGCAAGGATGTGGACCCATTTTCTGGCTGGGAAAAATAAGTCCTGAGTAGCTCAGAGCTTTTCCAAGGTCTCGTTGTGAGGGGTGGTGGGTGATTTTTCTGGAGCTTGTGATTTCTCGCTGAGGTTCTTTTCACTGCCTCCCAGGAACAGGCTCTGAGAAGGTATGGTGGGTGGGTCGAGCCCCGCCCCCCCCACAGCCTGATGTTCCCTCTCCCTGTTCCAGGTCCAGGAGCTGCAGGATTCACTGCTGAGACTCCAGCCCTGCCCACCTCCCTCCCACAGCCAAACAGGCAGCTCAGGCAGTGGTTCCAGCAGTCCTGGAGCAGAAGGGGAGACATGGGGGACTCAGGTTGGTGTGGAAATCAAGGGCCTATTTGCAAAAGGACACTATTTATCCAGGGAGAGAGATCTGAAGGTCGGAAGGGATAGGGCAAAGAGATGAATGGAAATGAGAATGACAGGGAGGAAGTGGGAAGAGTGCTGTCATGCTATAGGGACTGTATTTAATGTCATAAAACCTCACTCAAAAAAACAAACAAAAAAACAACAAAAACCTTCTCACTCAAAGTCTAATAAAAAGCTTATGAAAACCCAAACAAACTAAGAAAAGGCCATTTAAGGACATGAGATTCAAATCTTGATCTTGGTATCCAATAGATTCTGGGATTGCAAAGACCTAAAGTCATGACCTTGGCCTTCAGTGACCCTTGGGGTTCATGGAATCTCCTCTTCCTGGCAGAATCCCTTTCCCCTGGCTCATCCCCTACTCCGGCACCTCAGGAGTGATTCCAGCACCCAGATCCTTGGACCTCTCCCTATTCAGCCCCTGGTTCCTGAGATGCACCTCATGGAAGCCCAGACTGTGCAGCTCCAGAGGTAAGAGTCACAAATGCTGAGCTAGTTAAGGGCCCTAGTGCCTCCCCAAGCTGGGTATGAATCCCGGGGTCTGCAGTTGGAGGAAGGGAAAGGTTATTGTTGTTGATAAGTGGCATTGAGTCAGACCTAACTCATAGCTGACCCTCCAGCAAGTTTTCAGAGGCTGTAAATTGCATGGGAGGAGATTGCCCATCTTTCTCCCTCAGTGCAGCTGGTGGATTCAAACCATCTTCCTTTAAGTTAGTGGTGCAACTTTTCTTAAAAATTTTTTAAATTTTATCTTATTCATTTTAATGAACATTTACAGAGATTTTGGATTTACATTCATTTATTGTTGCACTTTTCTCCCTGCCCACCCCTCCCCTCCAGTTTTCTCTTCTCTTTGAAAGTAAAAGAAAAATTCCTTCATTAGTGTATAATCCCCCCACCACCCCTTTCCCCTGCCCCAAGTACACTCCACTATACAACCTTCATTCTGGACTCTTGTGATAACCCTAATACTCTATCATATATTGCTTTTAAACTGTTCTCTCTCTCATCTGTTTCAATGCACTATACATAATTTATCCAGTTTTTCTCAGTCTTACCCCAACCCCGAGGTCAGTCCCATTCTACAACAGTGGCACCATGCAGTATTTGTCTTTTTGTGACTGAGATATTTCACTCAGCATAATGTCCTCCAGGGTCACCCATTTTGAATAATATTGCATGAGTTCCTTGTTTTTCAATGCAGCGTAGTAGTCCATTGTGTGAATATACCACAGCTTCTCTATCCATTCATTTGGTGATGGGCACTTAGGTTGTTTCTAACTCCTTGCTATTGTGAACAAAGCCGTGGTAAGCATGGATGTGCATATATCTGCTTGGATGTCAGTTATGGTCTCTTTGAGGTATATTCTTAGTAGTGGAATTGCTGGGTCAAATGGTATCTCTATTTGCAACTTTTTGAGAAAGCGCCACACCACTTTCCACAGTGAGTGGTGCAACTAGGTCATCAGAGCTTCCCAAGGGGTAAGGAGGAGCTAGCAATGGGGTCCTGACTGACCTCAGAGTTCTCTAACTTTTCTACTGCCCCACCTCTGGAGGCAGAAACATCGAGAAACTCAAATGTTTCAACCGTCTGCTGTCGGCCGTGCTCCAGGGATACAAGGGCCAGTGTGAAGGTCTCACTATGCAGCTGAGCCGGCGAGAGGCCGAGGCCACAGCCCTGCATCTGGCCTTGCAGTACAGGTCAGTGTGCCCACCGCTGATGCCACTAGCAGGGGAGGAGCTGGGCACCGGGCCACGGCCTCACCCAGAGATAGATACCAGGGGGGACTTGATTTAAGGCAGTCCTAGTTCATGGGTGCTGAAGAAGTCTGAGCTCTCCCTGGGATGAAAGCAGGGGGAAACGTGAAGGGTCCCCAGGAGCAAGCAGGAATTCAAACTCACATAGCAAGATGGGAGCAGGTTTCCCGGTGGCAAAATATTAGAGCTGGGGTTTTGAGGGGTGAGTAGGAGTTGGCCCTTTGGAAAGAGACTGGGAGATCTGAGCACCCTGGAGCATTTAGGTCCAATGTCCTGCAGTGAGCATTGTGAGGAGGCGTATGGGGCCCTGCTTGCTCTGCGGAAGGCCGCGCTGGGAACAGAGGACGGAACCTCCATGGGTGACCTGTGGGCAGCTGAGAAGGAAGCATGGAGAGTGTTGGCACAAGAGGAAGCTGCCATACAGGGAGGAAAACCACGAGAGAACCTGCCAAGGTACCCCAGGGCACCAGGAACTGGGCTGACGACGATTGGAGTGGGAGGGTATTATCATACCAAATGGAGATTTGGCAGAGTAACATCCAGCAATCACTGAGGCTGGCCTGTTGCTCAACAAGGTTGGCATGGAGCTTTGGCAGAAAGGTGCTTAATGAGGCTGGCTTGATGATAGGTATTGGTGTTGGCATCCTGGGTGATAGTGCTCATTGGTGGGGAAGGTGAAGTGGGATCAGAACCTGTCTAACTTCAGGGCAGGTAAAGCCATCCAGGTCAGCATCAGCGAGTCTGATGTCTATCAGGTCGAGGTGAGACAGACCTTTACACCAATTCTGACAGCAGGCAGCCCTCCCACAGCACTCTCTCTCTACTTTGCTTCTGGGTTTAAGAATCAATTGCAAGGGGAGCTCTGGTGGCCGAGTGGCAAGAAGCTGTACTGCAATACCAAAGGTACATGGTTGTAATCCAGTAGAAACTCTACTGGAGAAGGAAGGGCAATTTCCTCCTGTACAAGTCAAATAGATTTGATGTTACACACACATAAGAATAAGAATAAGAATAAGAATAATCCACAATTAAGGTTGCACAGTGGAATGTACTTGGGGTGGTGGGAGGGGTGCGGGGGGGATTGTGTACCAGGGAGTGAGTCTTTCTTTTACATTTTTTTTCTTTTACTTTTGAAAGAGAGGAGCGAACTGGGGGGCGGAGGGAGAGGGCTGGGCGGGAAGAGAAGTGCAGCAATGAATGAATGGAAATACAAATTCTCTGTAAATGTTCATTAAAATTATTAAATAAGATAAAATAAAAGAATAAGAATAATTCATTGCAATTGGCATGCCGAACTCCCAAACCGCACATAGAGTGAACGTAGCTCCACTCATTCCCGTCGAATTGGAATGGACTCAGAGCTGATGGTCTGGTAAGTTTTCAGAGATTGTAAATCACACGGGAAGAGATTGTCTACGTTTCTCCAGAGGAGCAGCTTGCAGATTCAAACCTCTTGCCTTTGGGTTGGCAGCCCACCTTCTTACTCACTAGGCAACCAGAGCTCCCTACACTGAGAGTTAAGTGGTTTATTAAGGAAAGTAACAGGGTACTGACTTGGATTCAGCAGGCTAACAATTCAAGATCAGGATTTTCATAGGAAAAGTGTCCCTTCTGCAGCCCTGGACAGCTCTCTCAGCTTCCTTTGGGCGTGCAGGCCTTACTTGTTACTGAGCTTCTTCTGGGTCTCTTGCTCTCTTTAGTGTTACTATCTTTGGCCTGTGGGTTAAAGCTTCTTTGGAAGATTTCCTTGTTCTGGCTCACTCTCTCTGTATTTCTCTCTCTTTTCTTTTCCTTTCCTCTACTTTTTCTTGTCTCCCCTCCCCACTACCCTTTTCGTTTTGCTGTCTTGTTTGAAAGGACTCTGCAGTTTTCTCCTTATGCACACAAACTCCTTGTTAATTTCAAAGTGTGATCCTCCCACCAGGGCCAGACACTGACCAATCCCCTTGCAGTAAGCCACAGATACTTCATTTGCATAAAAGGCTACATACACTTTGTTTACACAGTCTATTGGCCAATCCCTCCAAGGTGCAAATCACTCACAGAGCAAACAGTACCCAGGACCAGACAAAAATAATAGCAAACAAAATTGTTTATACCTTGCCCAGGAAATGTCAACTGGCCTGGATAAAATAACAAATCTTCTAGGAGAGAAAACTAGGGCAAAGGTGATGCCTTTGGGCTTGGGGAGAAAAGACAATCTCTCAAGCTGTGTTTCCAAAGAGCCAAGGAGCAAGGTACAGTTGCAGCTGGGGCGGTGTGATGGTGTCCACTCTAAGGCACGCATGATGGTGTCTATCAGGTGGTTGTGATGGTGCCTATTACATTGTTTTGAGTTTTAAATATTTTTATTTTTTATTGTGACTGAGAGGACAGTGTTTGGTGGCGCTCCCCAGTTGAAACAAGCTTGGAAGCAGGAATGGCATCCACTTCTGTAAATAGCTTGCTTCCAGAAGCCCTATGAACCTGGAGAAAGGATGAAAGTCACGCACGCAAGTGTCGAGGACTTTCGTTCATAGGGTCGCTATGAGTTGCCTATGACTCGACGCCACTTAACAACACAGAGAGAGACCGTTTGGCCTAGTGGACCAAAAGCAATGCTAGCAAGCCAAAGGTGGGTGACTCTAATCCGTGGCCCTCAGGCCTGTTTTTGTTCAAACATTCTTTAGGTCGTATAGCCCTGGCATATCCACTTGCTGTACAGAAGTAACTTGTGGTTGCTGTGAAGCTGAACACCGTGACACTGATGTGTCAAATGCAATAACGGTTGCCCATGGTGGACAGTGTTTGGTGGAGCACCCCGGTTGAAACAAGCTTGGAAGCAGGAGTGGCATCCACTTCTGTAAATAGCTTGCCTCCGGAAACCCTATGAACCTGGAGAAAGGATGAAAGTCACCCACACAAGTGTCAAGGACTTTCATTCATAGGGTTGCTATGAGTCTCCTCTGACTCAACGGCAGTTAACAACAACAATAACATTGTGACTGAGTGAAAGTTTATAAAGCAGGCTGGTTTTTCATTCACCCATTCATGCACATTTTGTTTTATCACATTAATTACAATGCCCACAATGTAATTTCACTTTCCCCACTTTCCCCCTGTACTTCTGATTTCCATTTATCCTTCTTGTCTATCCATTACTGCCTTCAGGTTTGAAGCTTGGAGAAAGGCTGCTCTTCGACTTTATGTGGTTGGTTATTTTAAGGGGTGAGTGCCTCCCTAATGTTATTATGTATTTTTTAGGCTTGCTTATATTTAACTGAAAGTTGAGCTACAGATCTTTTCTAGTGTTTTTTATTTTGTTCCAGATTTTCTCCCCCTCTATACAGGATCTCTTGGTGATGGTAGCTGGGCATCTTCTAGTTCTTCTGATCTCAGGGTCATGAAACTTGGAGTTTGTGTAATCTATTGTTAACAGCTTTAATTTGCTTGGCTTAATAATCAACACTTTTGCTACTAGCAGCCAGGAAATTAAAAGATGAATTGCATTAGAAAAGTCTGCTGTTAGGAACCTCTCCAAAGTACTAAAGAGCAAGGATGTTAATGTGGAGACTAAGGTGCACCTGATCTAAGCCAAAGTCTTTGCAATTACTTGCTACGCGTTAGAAAGCTGGTCAATGACTAGAAATGATAGAAGAACAGATGTCTTTGAGCTGTGGTGCTGGAGAAGAATATTGAATATACTATGGATTGCTAGGAGAACAAACAGGTTCGTCCCAGAGAGGGTGAGACCAGGCTGCTCCTTGGAGGCAAGGATTCTGAAGCTTCATCTGACATACTTTGGCCATGTTTCAAGGAGAGACCAGTCCTTGCAGAGGGATGTCATGCTTAGGAGGGTAGAGGGACAGCACAAGAAAGGAAGATTCTTGATGAGATAGATTGATCAGTGATTGGAGTAATGGGGGTAAATTGTCAGAGACAATAGAGTTTAGGGCTGTTGTACATAGGATCACTTGGCACATAACAACAACAACGACAGTAACATTAGTCCTTTAAAGACTGTAGCCTCACTATAGATTGCATCTCAATAAATATTCTCACTGTGGGGCCAGTTGGCAATGTCAAGATAAATGGAAAAGAGATTATTAACAATTTCACCTTGCTCAGATCTACAATCAACACTCTTGGCACCAGCAGTCAGGAAATCAAAAGACAAGTTGCATTGGGAATGTTTGCTGTCGGGGACCTCTCCAGAGTGCTGAAGAGCAGAGATCTAGAGGAAGTCTAGAGACTAAGGTGCACCTGATCCAGACCATGGTCTTTGCAATTACTTGCTACGCATCAGAGAGCTGGACAGTGACTAAAGGATGGCAGAAGAATTGATGCCTGTGAGTTGTGGTTCTGTAGAAGAGAATTGAACATATCATGGAGTGCCAAGAGAACAAACAGGTCTGTCCTGGAGAGGGTGAAGCCAGATTGTTCCTTGGAAGAAAGGGTTTTGACACTCCATCTGACAGATTTTGGGCATGTTGCCAGGAAGGACCAGATTTTGGAGAGGCATCTCATGCTTGGAAGGGTGGAGGAACAGAGGAGGAGAGGAAGAGCCTGAATGAGATGGATTGACACAGCCTCTCCAGCAGAGCATTTAGTGGATATGAACCGCGCACCTTTGGGATTGCATCTCTCTAAATTATTGAGGAACAATTATTTCTGTTTGAGGACTAAAGTACACCTAATTCAGGCCATGATCTTTTTAATTACTTGTTATGCATCTGAGAGCTGGACAGTGGTTAAGGGATGATGGAAGAATGGATCTCATGAACTGTCAAAAGAACAGATAGTTATGTCTTGGAGAAGGTGCAGCCAGAATGCTCCTTGGAGGCAAAGGTGATGAAGCTTCATCTCACAGACTTTGGGCATAGATGCTATTCCTTGGAGAAGGACATTATGCTTGGAAAGGTCCAGGGTCAAGAAAACGGAGGAAGACCCTTAACCAGATAGACTGCCACAGTGACTGGAGCATTGGACTTGAGGCTGTCAGAGATTGTGAGGATGGTATGGCATAGGACAGGGTTCAGATCTGTTGTTTGTAGGGTCACTGTATGTGACCCCTTGGCTCAATGGTTACATACAAGCAAAATCCTGTTGAAAGTGATTTAAAAACAGCTAGGGAGTGGTACATCTACAGAGAACTGCCAGAAATTCAAGCTAGATTAAGAAGAAGTTGTGGCACCAGCAGTATCAATACTGATGTCAGATAGACCTCAGGTTAAAGTAGAGAGAACCAGAAGGATGTCTGTCTTTGGTTTTTTTGGCTATACAAAAGCATTTGACTGTGTGGATCACAACCAATTTAGGAGGCTAGATGTTGAAATTCAGAGCGTCAGTTCGAGAGAAAGAAAGGCTTGCTTTCTCCATTGGCTATGGAGGAGGGTCTTTGTCCTGGGCCTTGTCGTCCTGGGAGAGCTTGATGTGACTTGGCATCACTCTTCCTGAGCCTCTGCTTGCTAGTCTGCATTTAATCGCTTTTATTTCTTCCCCTCCACTCTCCTTGCCCATTAACAGAACAAGGACAAAATGAACAACCAACCCACTGCCCAGGGGTCCAACCCATCGTGGCCCTATTGGGCGGATTAGAACTGACCCATAGGCTTTCTAAGCTGTAAATCTATAGAAACAGATGAGCTCTCCTTTCCTCCAGTGAAACGGCTGATGGGTTCAAACTGCTGAGCTTTCGCGTGGCAGGTACACTCTTTAGGCTTTTACAAGTCAAGTCATCACATTCCCAAATGGTGTTAGAACTACAGGCCTAAACTCAGCGCCACTAAGTCATTCTCAACTCACAGTAACCCTGTAGGATCATGTAGGACTTCCAAGGCTGTACACCATTAAGGAAGCAGGCTGCCACATCTTTCTCTCATGCAGCAGTTAATGGATCCAAACTGCTGAACTTTTGGTTAGCAGCCCAATAATTAATCTATTACACCACCTGGGCTTCTTCACCACAGTTAGAGGATACGATTTACAATACATGCTTTGGGGGGAGCTCTGGCGGCCTAGTGGCAAGAAGCTGCACTGCAATCCTAGAGGTACGCCATTCGAATCCACCAGGTGCTCTGCTGGAGAAGGAGGGACAACCTCCTGTACCAGTCAGATCCAATTTGACAGTAGATCCAATTTGAAAGTACACATACACACAAAATAATAAAGATAAAATTTCAAACAACAACAACAATACATACCTAGGAGGGACAAACTGAACCAAGCTCATTGGATTAGTGTAATGATTACCCATATTACATTGATTAGTGAGGCTGTTCATTGAGTTTGCATGATGATGTCCACCATGTAGTTTTGATGGATGATAGATTTTATTGGGGTTTACAGTATGATGAGCATCATATTGGTGTCGGAGGGTCCACCACAGATGTCATAGGACACATTGTAAAACGAGGGATGATGGTACCCAACAACGGCTGGTGTAGGCATGATACAACTACACCCAGCAGTGTTGACACGTATCTCTCTTCTCTTTCCTGTAGCCCTGAGGGCAGCAGTGTGGACAAGCCCACACTACAGGAGGTGGCTTCCCAGCTCCAAGGCCTCATCCAGTGTCTGCAGGACCACCGCGCTTTGGTGAAGATTCCCCCGGAGCCCGGTCCCACTCTGGCACCCATACCCAATGTGCCACGGACAGAAGCCATGCTGCAGGCCATGCTGGAGACCCAGCCTGGCCCAGCCCTGCTCCGGCTGGAGAAGACACAGATCCAGGAGGAGCTAGTGGCCACACGGGTACTCATGGGATGTGGTTACCCTGTCAATCATTCCAGCCAGAACAAAGCTTCCTGTAAAGGCAGAGAGGGCCTGGCTAGAAGGGACGAAGGAGCAAGAAAAGGGTTTTATGTCTGGGAGAAGACTTCTTTGGAGGAAAGAAAATTAGAGCTAGGGTTCTGAAGGATGAGTAGGAGTTTGCTCTCTGTGTTTTAATTTCTCTTTAGATTTCTAACATGGCTTTCAAAACCCCTCTTCCTATGGGAACGGCATGGAGGATGAGGCCATGATCTGGGGGAGGTGTCCTTGAGTGAAAAGACTCCAGGTTCTGGAGTTGAAGACACTCAGGTGCTTCCACTGAAATGGTACTCCACTTTGTCTAAGATACATACCTTCTCGGAATTGCCTTCCCCAAAGCAAACCTGCTGTGAACGGATTCTGACTCATACAGACTCTATAGGACAGAGTAAATTGCCTGCCCAGAAAATTTCCAATATCTAGGAAAGCATATTGTCAGCTGTTGGATTCAAACTACTGACCTTTTAGTTAGCATCCTAGTGCTTTAATGATGGCACTACCTAGGCATGTGTGTGTGTGTGTGTATGTACACACATGTACATACACACACACACACACACACACACACACACAGACGTGTATCACACATATATATTCTCAAAATTCATCAGTGCCAAGTCCTGGCTGACCCTGCATCAGGATTTCAAGGGTGTTTGATTGTTGTTGTGAGGAGCGGTCAAGTCAATATTTTACCCCTAGTGTGACAGAGAACAACTGTCCCGCCGTCTGTACCCTTTATGGGGCCGAGTCATTCTCTCATAGAACTGCTGGGTGGATCCAAACCATCAACCTTTCAGTTGTACCTGAGTCTTTCTAGGGGATGGTATTTCCCACCTCGCAAAAGCAAAGTGAAGGCCAGACTGTTTATCTGTCCAGCCAGAGTGTGTGCCTCAATTTCCCTAATGGTTAACTGTTGCTATTATAAAGAACAACCCCCAAAACCAAACCCACTGCTGTCAAATTGATTGCAGCCTCATGACAACCCTCCATCCGGTGTCTGAGGCCATACATCTTAATGGGAACAGCCCACTTCATCTTTCTCCAGAGGGGTGGCTGGTGAATTCGAACTCCTCACCTTTTAGTTAGCAGCCCAGCCATCAGGTTGATCCTATTCACAGGGACTGATGGAAACCCCACCTGATTCTACACATCCTCACAATCTCTGTGGGGCTTAAGTCCACTGTTGTTACTGTTGTATCGTGGAGTTGGAATCAAACAATAACTGACCCTCCAGTGGGTTTTCAGGGGCAGTAAACTTCACAGGAGGAGACTGCCCATCTTTCTCCTGTGCAGCAGCTGGTAGATTAAAACTTTACACCTCAGCACAATTCCTTGCCACTAAGCCAATAGAGTTCCTTGTTGTTGGTAACTGTTGTCAACTCAGCCCCTGGTTCATGACAACCCGATGTACAAGGACTCAGGGGTTTTGTAGGCTGAGTTTTGGAAGTCAGTCGCCAGGCCTTTCTTCCTAGTCTATTACACTCTAGAAGCTGTACGAAAATTTGCTCGGCATCATAGCTACATGCAGATCTCCACTGAGAGACTAGTGGGGATTGCTCATACGATGCACTGACCAGGGGCGGAAACCGTTTGTCCCGTGTAGAAGGGGAGGATTCTACCACTGAACCATACTACCCTTTGAGGTCGGCCCTCAAAGCACACTCTTCCTTTTTCTCCTTGGCCCCTCAGGAGACCCTGGCAGACTTGGCACTAAGGTTACAGCTGGCGCGCAGGGAGAAGCGGGGCCTGGAGCTTCGGGAGGCCGCCCTTCGAGCCCTGGGCCCGGCCCACGCGCTGCTCCTGGAGCAGCTGCAGTGGGAGAGGTCTCAGCTTGATGGGGAGGAGGGCAGCGATGCAGACAGCAGCAGGGGCGGAAGCAGCGGGGATGAGGAGGAATGGCCGCAGGTGAGTGGCCCACCTGGATCTGAGAGGGTCAGCAGTATCCTACTGGCTGTGTGGCCCTGGAGAACCATGGGCTTTTGTTCCATTTCAGGTTAGAGAGGCAAATATAATCATTGAGTGACAAGATTCACACTTGCACTTTCTTTGAGGGTGTTGAATTCAATAACCTGTTCATCTTCCTTCATCCTAGGCCCGCTCATGCTCCCACCTCTACTACCAGCCTGTGCCTCATTCTCTGTCTAAATGTTAGCTCCAGCCTCCTCTCTGAGGCTTCCCTTTTGCCTCTTCCCATCTAATCTTGTCTGTCCTATGCTTAAAGCCTTCTATAGCTTTCTGGAAACTTCAGAGTCTAGGCTCCTTAGTGTGGATCTTTGAATATCTCTCTCCCACCTCCAAGCATATGCTGGGCCCGTGCTTTGTCCTTTTTAATCTACATCAACCTCTTACAGGTCTCAGTTCAGACATCACCTCCTCAAGGAAGCCCTCCTGGGTTGTTCTTAGATGAGATTCTCCATTCTTACTTCCTTTGTCAGGGAGGAAATAAGCAGAGCTGTGGCCCTCACTTGTTGGAGTGTCTTAAGTACCATCTCTGGGCTTAGTACACATCTCAGCCAACACCACGTCCCACCCTTCTGCTCACCTTAGGGCCCTCCTGCTGGCCCTGATGGCACTTGTGGTGTTGATGGAGGTCAAGTGGACAAAGTGAGGGACCCAGAGGAGCTAGCCCGGGAGCTGGAGTTGTCACTAACCCGGTGCGTGCTGGGGTCTGGGCTGGGAAATGGGTGTCCTCAGGGAGGGCAGGATGCGGATCAGTGTACAGGTGTGTTCATCTGGAAACACCTTGGACAGCTGGGTAAGAGGAGGGGAGGGAAAGTGATTGGTCATGACTGTGAGTCCCTCTCCCTCTCCTGACCCCTGAACTAGGTCCCTGGACCTTCGAGGGCAGCTGCAGAGTGTTCGAGAAGAGCTGGAACAGGTGGCTCAGAGGGCTCGAATCAGACGCACTCAGAGTGCCAAGCTGAACAGCGATTTATGCAAAGCTCACAGGTTGGCCCCCTGCCACATGTCCAGGTCCCATGTGTCCCTGTCCGGCCTGCCTGGCCACTTCATCCCTGGCTATCTCTGGACCTCCCCCCTGTGAGGTGGGTAGTGCATTCAGTTCATTCCACACCTTCCTTGAGGCCCATTGGGAGTTCTGGAGCACCAGTTCCAGGGAGCCCCCATTTGGGGCTGTGGCAGGGGTTATTTCTGGGCTCAACCTTCACCTCTCCAGCTCCCTGGTCCTGGCATTCCGAGGATCTCACCGGAAGCAGGAGGAGCAGCAGAGGAAGTTGGAACAGCAGGTGGCTCTAATGGAGGCCCGACAGGCAGAAGAGCTGGCCCTGTTGGAAGCCACTGCGAGGGCCTTGGAGAGGCGGCAGCTGCCACCCCAACCAGGGGAGACCCTTCTGTAGACCTTGTGAGGAGTTGTCTTTGGACAAGCAATGGAAGGGTGGCTGTCAAGGTCATAAACTCCCTGGAGAACCTTTCTGTGATTTGATGAGTTTGGGCCTGTTTGGTGTGGGGTGGGTGGTCTTGTGTAAGAGTAACAAGGCATTTGAGAAAGTCAAAGTCTTAGAGGTCTCTGGGTGATGAAATAGTCTGTGCTTAACTATTAAAAGACTGGTCATTCAAACAAAGCCAGTGGTGCTGCAAAAGAAAGACCTGGCAATCTGTTTCCATAAAGATGAAAACAAACAAAACCCAAACTCACTGTGGTCTAATTAAAGTGAACATTGTTTCTGTTGCTATGTGTCAACAAGTCGACTGACCTTATGAATAACCTAAGAATCATTCCCTATCCTTCGCCATCCTCACATCTCAGGCATGTTCAAGTCCATTGTCAAAGTCACTGCATCAATTCATTTTGTGAGTCTCTTCCCCTGTTGACCCTCCGCCTTTCCCAGCATGATGTAGTTTCCCAAGGACTGGCCCCTTCTAACAACATGCCCAAAGCGTCACCATCCTCACCTCAAATGAGCACCCTGGCTGCACTTTCTTCAAGACGTACTTGTTTGTTCTCTTGGCAGCTCATGGGATATTCAATACTCTTCTCCAACACTGCAAGTCAAAGGCATTGATTCTTCTTCTATCATCCTTATTCATTGTCTAACTTTCAGATGCACAGCAAGTAATTGAAAAGACTGTGGGTTGGCACCTTAGTCATTTTTTAAATTATTATTATTTTGTGTGTACCATCAAATTGGATCTGACTGGTACAGGAGGAGATTGCCCCTCCTTCTCCAGCAGAGCATCTGGTGCAGTTCAACTGTGTACCCCTGGGACTGCAGTACAGCTTCTTGCCACTAGGCCACCAGAGTTCCCTTGCACCTTAGTCTCTATTGACCTCCTTTTATATAAAGTTTACAGCCATTACAACCCTACGAAGCAGTTTTCTTCTCTAACACATGGGGGCACCATAAGTTAAAACGGACTAGACAGTGGATTTTATTTTTTTAAAAACATCTTGGGGTCTTGTCTAATATTAGAACCTGTCATGTCCATTGGAATTGAGGAGGAGGCTGACTAGAATGTGGGGACGGGGTCCCTAGGGAACTAGAAAACATGCCTCTCTCCCACTTGAGCTGGGGGTTAAGGGAAACTGAGACCCTGTCAAGTTCTGGAGTTAAGTAGCCAGAACTCAAATTGCTGCTCCCCTTAAGGAAGGGTCAGTGATGGGCCGGGGAAGGACATACCCTTTCTGTCCACTCTTTCCCTAGGAAGCTGCTATGATGCTTACAAAAAGAAGGTGACTGTTTGTCACAAAAGGGAAACTGAGGCCACAACAATTCAAGGTGTGCACAGAGGAATATTGGTTCAAAAGAGCAATAGTTCCCAGGATGGAGATTGGGAGGGAGAACCAGAGAGACTTTCAGAATTTGACTGGGCTTCAAAGAACTTGCAGCTTCTGGGTGAAGTGGGGATTGGGGGTTTTGTGCTAATGGTGGGCAATGATGCAGATTTTTTTGAGACTTCCTCCTGAGGCTGATGGGAGCTAAGGGAGGTGTCTACATCTGGTTAAGTGGTTTGTGTTTGATTGCTAACCTAAAGGTTGGCAATGAAAGCCTAGCCAGTGGTGCCACAGAAGAAAGGCCTGGTGACCAGCTTGAATAAAGAGTACAGCCAAAAGAGCCCTAGGAAGCACTTCTACTCAGACACAGATGGGGTCACTTTGAATCAGAAATAACTCCCTGACAACCGATCAGCCTGCATTCTTATAGGCCACCTCTCCTAGGCCCTCTGGGATGGGCTAGCTTAGCCTGGAAAGCTGCAGTGGGCCTCGATCCAGCCTGGTGGGATTAATGGCCAGCTGTCCTCTCCTTGGACTGAAACCCAAGACAGGGATTAGAAATCGTTTTGTGTCCATCCTTGGGGGAAGGAGGCGTCTGGGTCACACCTGTGCAGATGTTCAGGGAGCGGCCTCTTTCTAGGGGACACCTCTGGTCAGTGCTCGAGTCTGGAGTGGCAGAAAAAGAATGAAAAAGCAAACAGCCATCTATAATTTGGGCGCTGGTATAACCTTTGGAACTGTCCCTCTCCCCGCAAGTATCTCTGGATCTGGCTGACTACGAAAAAAGTAGGGAAACTGAGACAGACAAAGCTCCGCGTGAAGGGGAAGGGCAGAAGACTGACCCTCACCCCTCCTCAGGAGTCCAAGGGTGACCTCATCCCCAGGTTGCCTGGAGGGGGGAGAGAAAGGGAGCCAAGGTCATCTTCTGAGGGTGATGACAGAGCTTGCACATTGTGGGGAGCCTGGGGGCTAGTTCCCAGGACATTCAAGAACAGGGCTGGCAGTTCCCACAGGCGCCCCCTCGGCAGATGGGCCTAGGATTCTTTGTCCCAGGTTTGCAGGCCCCTGCAAGGTCAAATGTCACCTCGGGGCTGCGGGCAGGGGTCAAGGGGGAGGGGCTGGCCCTGGATCCACCCCCAGGAGGCTTCCAGGGGGTGAAGCGGCTACTAGGAGGGGGTGGGATGACCATGGGGATCTGGAGTCTCTAAAGTTAGTCTCCCCAACCACACGCAGTTAGCATCCCCCACTACCCCATGCCAGTCACCTTGTCCTCCCCTACTCAGACCTTCGTGAACCCCATCCCAAGCCTGCTTTCCTAAATTCCTTTTTCAGATCACTACCCCAGACCTCCCCACCTGTGTTCCTAACAATTTCTGGCAAGTCCAGCAGTAATCTAGGACCCCAGGTTTCTACCCCAAATAACCATCCTCACTCTCAGGAGCTCAGAATCCGAAGAACTTTGCTTCTCATCCAAGACCCTCTCTCCTAGCAGAATGTGGCTAACACTATCTCAGGCAAACCTGTGGGAAGTCCTTGCTCATGTCTAACCCAAGTCTTTCCTGCTTTTGGTGCTTTCAACAGCTTCCCCAGGAGTGTCGGATGGCTTCCTTAGGAGTTCCTGGGGGGCTTAAACCACTGGGAGCTCTACTGCTAACTATACTAACTCAAAGCTTGATGGTTCAAACCTACCCAGAGATAAATGCCTGTGGAGTGGCGGTGAGGGGTGGAGATGAGGAGGAAAGGTCTCGTTATCTGTTTCCAAAATTACACAGCTTTGAAAACCATATGGAGCTTAGAGATTCAAAATCAGCTCTTTGGCAACTGATTTGGGTTTAAGACTTTCAACACCAGCATCTCAGCAAATCCTAAAATGCTCAGAGATGGGTGCACTTGGCTCCCCTTCAGTCTCAATTTCCCCCCAAGTGTTACACAATCTCTAAGCACCTTTACCCCAGGGAGGGCACCTCCTCAGGTTTCCTCCGGGTGCCGGGGAAGAGGGCACGGCTTCGCTCCAGCCCGCAGCCCTCAGGGGCCCAGCCCAAGTGCCCTGGTGTCAGGCGGAGCACAGAGCAGGGCGGGAGATAAGGGCAGGCGCTGGACCTGTGGGGTTGTTGAGGGGAAAGGTCACCGCGGGAAGGGCTCCAATAGCCAGTTAAACGTTAACAGGTCCAGCAGGCGAGGTTCACCTTTCCCTGACCAGGGCTGGCCAGCTTCTTCACAGACCCACAGTGCCTACCTAGTAAACGCAGGGACTGACAGGGGCTGCAGGCCGCAAGAGATATCTGCAGTCCAGCCAGCCGCCCAGCCCTTTCTGTAAAACACACACACACACACACACACACACACACACACACACACACACACACGCGCGCGGAACCGGGGAGGCGGGGAGGCCTCTCGGGAGGGTTGGTGGATGGGCCATGCCTCGCTGCGCCCCCTGCCCTGCTGCCCTGCCCCAGACGATGGGGCCCCTCTGACCTTGCGCCCCAGCCATGCGCAAACCCCAACCTCCCTTCCTTTTGGAAATGCCAACCAGCAAGCAAAGAAAAGGGTAGGGTGGAGGGCCAGCCGCGGTGACTTTCTGGAAGCGGCAGTAAGCACACTCAATCCATCATGCAACTGTGCAACGAAATGCCCAAGGGTGTGCGTTCGTGCGTGTGCATGTGTGCGTGTGCGTGTGTGAAAGTCTGAACGGAAAGATCTTTACCGCAGGGGCATGGCCCCTTGCTTCTGTGCAGCCAGCCCCGTTACTGCTCTGCCGGGAAGTCTGGAGGGGGGTGGGCGAGGGGAGCCTCGAGGACTGCCAGCCACGCAGTGTCCACAGCCGGTGGCGGAGGGGAAGACCTGGGAGGGGAAGGCAACTGGGCGAGGCGGCCGAGGGCAGAGGGTGCCGCGGGCCAGCAGGGGTTAAGGCCGGCGC